ATGGTTACTACTTTCTTTCATGGCAGCTAGGTGGTATAGTGGATAGAGTGCTGGGCCTGGAGTCAGGAAGACTTATCTTCCTGAGTTCAAATCCAGCCTCAGTTTCTCATCTGTAAAATGAGCTGGAGAAGAAAATGGCAAACCACTCCAGAATCTTTGCCAAGAAAACCCCAGATGGGGTTGTACAGTTGTACATGACAGAACAACAACACTTTCTTTTATAAATACTCACAAATCATCTGTTTATTCTAGGGTCTTACCAGTTATTCATGTAAAACCTTCAGGTTTAGAGTTTCTGCCATTTGGAATTCTATGCACTTCCTGCTCCACACTTTTTTGTACTTTTTGAAAACTAGAACAAAATTTGCCTATCTCCAATCTCCTGTCACCTCTCCCACTGTATATGATTTCTCATGATGATTATCAACGACTACACCATGATTGCATCTGCACATTCTTTCAGTACACTTGTTTGTGATTTGTCTGGGCTTGGAGACTTGAATTCATTTTAAAAGGCTAGGTGCTCTATTATTCTCATTTGACCTGTCTCAGATTTCAATTTTCTCAATGATATGTATTCTACATTTTTCAGAATGCAGGTCATTCTTTTTTTATAGAAAAACATGGAAGTAAAATGGAAATTGTATAGCTTTTTCTTCTTTAGTCCTCAGTAACATTATACTATTTCCCCAAGAACTGGGCCTGTTCCTTCCTCGTTCAACTTGTTTTGAACACAGTAATGATAACAAAAAATCCCAACCAAAATTCTTTATTTTCTTTAGAATTTTAAAGAGTATCAGGCCATCCTGCACTTTGACTTTCTTGATACTAGTCTTATAGATTCAGAGTATTCATACATAGTTATATGACCTTTTCATCTTCACAGCATGACCTTTGTAAATATGAGATTATTAGAGACTGCTATGCATCCACACTGGTTTCATATGCCTCCTTTGTTACTGCAGTGTCAGAACTTAAACTTTTTGACTCCCTCTCTTGGTATCCTCATGACTTGAGGAAAATTAGAAAAGAGTTGCTGTCAGTGCATTAGGTAGATCATCTGTGGTGAATTTATGGGAGAACACGAATAAGAGTCACACAGAATGAGCAAGCATGAATGGGTTGAGATCTATATTATTGGACCCACTGCCTACACTGATGAAATCACAATTCTATCGGAGAATTAGAGAAACTCCAATTATCTTTTAGTTACGGGATTACACATTTTTTTCCATGAAACTATTGTGATTTGCTAAATGTTTAGAATACACATCTGGCTATGCTCAATGTTCTTTTCTAATAAGGTCAACTTTTCCCCAAGATTCCCATCATTTCCATATCAAGAAACAATCTAAATCCCAGTCCTGATACTTTACTACCTCACTGACCTTGAATAGTATTTCCCCTCTCTGGAACTCAATTTCTTTATCTATAAAATGAGGAGATTAGACAAAATGATCTTTCAGGTCATTTCTAGTTCTAAAGCCTTTCCAGTTCTAAATCCTGTGAGTTTATGACCTTTCTTGGTCAGAATGAAGCCCAGAATAGGTATTCTCATTTCTTCCTCTGTCATCTGAGCAATGAAATTCCAACTGGGTCATTGAGACATTATCATATGTTTTATTTTTAGCATAATTGGACATTTAGTAGTCATTTGAAAATCTGAACTTTCCCCATCATTCCTCTTTTTTGCCTCTGTGCTGGTATTGGTATAGAGACCATAGAATTAGAATTTGGAAAGCATCATGTATGTGCTTTCGATGATCTGTGTAGATGGTCTGTTGTATGTTCTCACAATATCACTTCTATTCCTTTCTCTCATTTTATACTCACCCAAGGATGGGGTCAACACTCTGTGTCTTCCCTCAGGTTTATGGATTCTTATAGATCTATATAGCTCCTTAACATACAAGATTATTCCTGTCCCTTTTCACCTCATTAAAGGTTAAAGGTATAGCCTTTCAACACAGTTATGAATCTGATCCCACACAGTGATCAGATCCAATTGGATCATGATACCTATGAGAGTGTATTTATTTCTTTGTTTTGAATTTGCAAGTTTGATTTATTTATTAAACTGTATACAGGTGCAAGGTAATTATCCAAAGTCATGCAGATTTCCTCTGACCTTCTTTCTTGTTATTTTTCTCCAGAAAATTTCTAGGTACCTCCCTCTGTCATGTTATTTAATTCTATGTAACATGTATTTGGTTTTACAGCTTTATCTGAGTGGTTTCTTTTTCCCTTTACCCTCAAATTTGAGTCATCTTAATTTTGGTAAGTTTCCTGCCAGACTCAGAATCAAAGAGTTGGGAAAGACTTCAGAGTTCTAACCTGTATGTACAAATAAATCCCTCTCCAATATCCCTGACAGGGAGTCATCCAGCCTATGCCTGGAGACTTCCAATGAGGAAGAACCCACTAGCTCCTGAGACAGTTCATTCCATTTATAGATAGCTCTGATAAGTAGAAAGTTATTCCTTATATATAGGCTAAAAGTCCTTTCAAAATCATTATGAGATACACTGGGTCCCTCATTAGAGGCTCCAAATTCTGCTCACACCAAACGCCATGCCATTTTGTACCACTCAATGTCAGTTATTCATCCTATGATCATGCTTTCTATTCGAGTATTACAAACTTCACTGGAAAGAAAGATGAAAACAGTATCCCTATCCCCAAATCCTTTAGTTTCTTAGCTATGGCTTTAGAATAATCACTAGACATATATTTCAGATGTGGGTTGGTTAGTTGTACCACATGCGCTCGCAGGTTCCTTCATGAAAAATTCCCTGACCAATGTATCTCTCTGTGATATCAGTAAGTACTAGTTGGTACTCTGGGAATGATTTTGTGTTTGGGTGCCATGGAAACTACCTACGCAGCTTTTCTCTGAAAATGACAGCTGTGTGCGCCTTATGATTCAAACACCACCCAAGCTGGAAAATGCATAACCATGAATTGGCACTCCTTTGTCAGTTAAACATCACCTGTTGAACACCTACTGTATTGTTCGTGCCAGGGGTTTTGTTTCCTCTTTTCTCACAGAGAATCTGGAATACTTCATCTTAGTATTGGTAACTCTATGCTAGAACTTTAACGTTAGACTTTAGGATATGTCACTTCAAGAATGAAAGGAAATGAACACACTTCTTTTATATTCCAAGAAATATTAAATTCCCAGAAAGATGTGATGGGGATAGGTCCTAGAGCTTTGGCTATGACAAAACCTTTTGATTTTCATCTTGGACTCTTTATAAAGATTCAGCAAAGCCATGACTATGGAGGCAACACTTGAGTGCTTAAGTTAGAGTGAAGATGAGTTCAAATGCCACCTTTGACTCAACCTCTTTTAATCTCTTCCTTATTTCTAAAATGGAGATAATGGGGTAGGGGAGAAGAGAAGAATACAGAGCATTCCAGGCACTGGGCCTCACTCTTCTTAGGAAACCTCTTACTGAGCCTAAGAAGTGTTAATTCACTCTCTTAGTCTTTTCTTCATAACGAGAAAGTCTAATTAACATAGAAAACCATTTTAAAGAGTCTGTTTGTCCTTTTGCAATAGTTTCTTACTCCTGTCTTCTCTATTATTCACCTGGAGGGGCAGGAAATTGAACAAGCTCAGTGATGGAACAGAGGACAACCACCTGCACTCAGTGTTTTCCTTGGAATTACTAAAACCACAGGGGTACTCATAAACACATTACATTTTGAAAGCAATTCATTGTTCATTGTATTGAAAGGGGAAATTGATAACTGACTTTGGAGGTTTGCCTTTCCATGAAATTTTAGAGTGGAAAGGGCTTGAAGATAGCATCTAATCTATAATCTAATTTACAAGTGGGGAAACTGAAACCCAGAAAGAATGAAATCTTTGCCCAGGTTTTGAGCTAAGTAGTGGCAAGAGCCAGGATTAGAATGCATATCTCCTGATTTCTGTCTCAGTGGTCTTTCTACTACACCATAGTAACCTACCTTGTCTCTCTCATTTTAATTTTTTTTTATTACTTCAATCTCAACTCCACATAATAATATACTCCATTGACTATACTCATGGTGTCTTTCCATGAGAATCTTACATATTGGTGAAATGATATTCCTGGTAAGTCCACTTTGATAGATCAAATATTTGAGAAAAGTTAATGAGACTATACCATACACTGAATTTCTATTTCCATTAAAGCATGTCTGGCCTAGTTTAGAACAAACCTCAAACATGGGGACTTAAACAGTTTGATCTGAGTCCAATTTTTTTTTTTTGCTTTCCCATTTATTTATCCTGGGTTACAAAATGATTTCTGCTTTTCTTCTTTTTTTATGAAAAAAAGAAAAAATGTTGATTTTTTAAAAAAGCTATAAAAATATCTTGAGAATCAAGCAGCACTTTAAGGAATTAAAGCTAATCAAATCCATGGATCCAGTTTCTTTTAAAATATACATGGATCTCCAAATAAAAGGGAAATTATTTCTTATAACGGTGAACTTGATTGGTTGAAAATGCACTCAGGAGCTTCAACTAGCCAGGGTTTTCTTTGCTTCATACAGGGCCACAGATTAGTAATTCCTACTAGGTTACCAATTATAAGATGGATGACTTGAACATCTGTATTATTATCCCATGAAAGTATGGCCTGAAGTTCTCTCTTCCTTCTTTTTATAAGAACTTCACTTCTCCAACGGGAAAGAAGGCTGCCTGAATGAATAATGGCAACTGTATTGTTCCAATTGAACTCAACAAACATTTATTAAATGCCTACTAGTTATAAGGCACCACAGTAGGTATTGGTGACAATTTTTTTTTTAATGATGCCGTTCCTAGCCTTAAGCAGCTTACATTCTATTGTATTAGGTCAGAGAAGGAAGGCAATACTACATGTATGCAGTTAAGTAAAATTTGAGGTGTAAGATGCAAAAATCTTCATTATATTTTCCTTACTTTTTATGTAGTTGTTGATAATCAAAGAGGAGGAAGTTAGAAGGTAGGAAATAATTATACTTACCAAGAAACTTTTTCATCATATATAAACTGTGGAGAAAAGAAAAGATATCTTAGTTATATGAAGAAACATAATCAAATTTACAAATTGTTTACTATATAATTTCCATAAAGCAGTAATCAGAGCTGCACTGTCCCAGGAGCAATGGACCTGTGGGTACCCAGCTGTACTCGTCAAACCTATATGGATGGTCCTGGGGGTAAGCTTGGCAAGGAGATGGAAATTCAGCTGTCTGTTGCTTTGGTACATCCTGCTAAGCCAGACACTCAGTCAATTATCATTTATTAAATGCATACTATGCGCTAGGCATTGTGTTAAATTCTGGGGATACAAAGAAAGGCAAAAGACAGTCCCTGCTTACATGAAGCTTACAATCTAACAGGGGAGACTATATGCAAATAACTATGTACAAATAAGTTGTATACAGGCCAAATGGGAAATGATCAACAAAAGGAATGAACTAGAATTTAGAGGGATTGGGAATGGCTTCCCACAGAAGGTGGGATTTTAGCTGGGACTTACAGGAAGCCAGGGAAGTCAGTAGTAGCAGTGAAGGGAGGGAGAGCATTCCAGGCATGAAAGATAGCCAGAGAAAATTCCTGAAGCTGAGAAATGGAATGTCTTGTCCAGGAGGCCAGTGTCACTGGATAGAAGAGTATGAAACAGGATTTTGTATTTGATCCTGAAGGTGATCAGAAACTGTTGGAGTTTATTTTGAGTGGGGGTGTGCTATGGTCAGATCTGTGCTTTAGGAAAATAACTTTGGTGGTTGAATGGAGGATGGACTAGAATGGGGAGAGATTCATGCCGGCAGACCAACCAGCAGGTTATTGCAATAGTCCAGGTGCAAGGTCATGAGGTCCACACCAGGTTGGTGCCACTATAAAAGGAAAGAATGGGCCATATTTGATAGATTTTGCAAAGGCAAAGTTGACAAGCCTTAGCAACAGATTGGATTTTGGGGGTAAGAGATAGTGAGGAATTCAGGATGATGTCTAGGTTGCAAGCCTGGGAGACTAGTGGTACCTTTGACAGTAATAGGAAGTCCGGAAGTGGGGAGGGCTTAGGGGGAAAAATAACATGCTCACTTTTGGACATGGTGAGTTATCATGTCTACTGGTCATCTAGTTCAAGATATCTGAAAGGCAGTTTGAGACACAAATCTAGAGGTCAACTGATAGGTTAGAGGTAGATAAATAGATTTGAAAATAATTATCATAGAGATGATACCTAAGTCCATGGGAGCTGATGAGATCACCAAGTGAAAAAGGGTAGTGGGAGAAGAAGACACAGGACAGAGTCCTGTAAGATACCTATGGCACTAGGCATGAGCTGCTTCTAGCAAAGGAGAGTGAGAAGGAGTGGTATGTTAGGTGAGATGGTAAACAGGAGAGAGCAAGGTCCTGGAAACTTAGAGAGAAGAGATGATTAAGGAGAAGAGGATGATCAGCAATGTCAAAGGCTTCAGAGAAGTCATGAAGGATGAAGATTGAGAAAAAGCCATCAGAGTTGGCATTAGTAACTTTGGAGAGAGCAGTTCTGGTTGAATGATGAGGTTGGAAGCCAGTTTGTAGAGATCTAATTAGAGAGTGAGAGGAGAGGAAGTGGAGACATGTATTGTAGACAGCTTACTCAAGGAGTTTAGTCACAAAGGACAAAAGCAGTATGGTTAGACAGTTAGTAGAGATGGAAAGATAAAATAAGGGTGTTTTTTGAGAATGGGGGAGACATAAGCATATTTGTAACAGGGTAGCAGGAGAGATTGAAGTTAAGTGAGAGAATGGGGATGACGGAGGGGACAATTTGTTGGAGGAGATGGGATGGAGTAGAATTGCTTTGCCTTGGCAAGGAGTATAGCCAGCTCTTTGAGTTAAACAGGGGTAGAGGATGAAAGCATGGCAAAAGGCATCTGAATGATACGAGATGAGGCAGAGGGGAGAAGAGGAAGCTCCTGGTTAATGGCCTCCAATTTTTCAGTAAAATATGAGGCAAGGTTCTCAGCTGAGAGAGTGAGAGGAGAGGAATCCATGAAAGATTTATAGAAGTAGTTTAGGGGTTGATAGGGGTAATGTGAGCAGGCAATGTGAAAAGGAACATTAGAAGAATGAAGAGTAGCATTGTTAAAAAAAACAAAAGCCTGGGCATTGTCAACTCAGCAAAGTCAAATATGTCAAATATGTATGTATGTATGTATGTATAGGTGTGCATTTGTATGCACATATGTATGCACACACATACATGTATAAGATATATGTATGTGTATGTATATATATATATATGTATATATACGTATATATATGTATATACACTTCTTCCCTCTGCCCTAGCAGAAATCTGAGTGCACAGTTCACAGCCTCTGTCTTTCATACTCACCTTTACCAATAACCAAAAAAAGGGGCACTGGATTCAAACCAAAAAATGAGTACTTTGAGTCTGAGCTCCACAGTCCCTATCTTTTTTTTATCCCAGCACAGAAGGTGCTCTATGGAGAGCTTATTATCAATGGTGCCTGTAGAAGAAGCAAGGGGACAGGATAGCCTTTCAGTGGTTTAGAAGAACATGTGATTTCACCAGAGGTAGACAACTGCCTATGTATCCTCCATTGCTCAACAACTTAGGATGCTAATTAAAGTTGTGATACTCAATTGCATAGGAAATCAGGGAAACTAAAACAAAAAAAAATGGATATTTGAAAGGGACCTAGACAGACCCAGCAGTTCTTCCATCATTGAAAAAAACAGATGAGAATCTAGGGGGGAAAAAACACCTTAGGAAAAAAATCCCATATTCTCCTGTATCACTTCTCTCATAAAGAGGAAAGAATGAAAATTGATGGCTCTGAGCAAGTATTGGCTTTACAGTTTTTATTTCACCTCTGTGTTCACAAAGAGATTCAGTTGTATGATGATGGGGAGAAAGATTTCTAGGATGGAAGTGGGGAAGGTCCAAATGGGGGCATATTAAAAAAAATTCTGGATGTTGTCAAGTCAGCAAGGCCTGCTGACATGTCATTTAATTTCCATAGGGCATCCTTAGCTGTTAAGTTATAATCTCTAACTATTGAGTTTGGAGAACTTAAAGGAGACTGGGGAAAATGACTATAATAATTCTAGTGGGAGGAACATGCTATAATGAACAGAGAGCTACCCTTAGAGTCAGAAAGACCCAGGTTTGAATCTAACCTCTCACTGTCTGTATTACTCTGGGAAAGTCACTTAACTTTTTTAGTGCTTCAGGAAACTATCTAAGATTAATCATGGTATTGCAGAACAGTTGCTCATCTGCAGTGGTGAAGTGAGTTTCCTCAATGGGAAGTCCCTTCATGCATGAAATCATTAAATCCAGACAAAATACAATTTGATGTCAGTACTTGAGACTATAGTAGAAGCAATCAGCAAATCATCATTTTATGGCCATACATACATGCACATATGTACACACACATAAATACATACATGCATACATACATACATATAATATACACACATAAATACATATATACACACATTTGCATATAATATAGAGAGCCAGGCTTGAAGTCTAGGTTTAAGGCCTACCTCTGACACATAGTGGCTTGTGACCTTGGCCAAGTCACATAAGTTCTTAGGACTTAATTTATTGTTGTTGTTTAGTCATTTTCAGTCATGTCCAATTCTTCGTGACTCTTTGGGGCTTTTTGGCAAAGATAGTGGAGTAGTTTGCCATTTCCTTCTCCAGCTCATTTTACAGATGATGAAACTGAGGCAAACAGACTTAAGTGACTTGCCCAGGGTCACATGGCTAGTAAGTGTCTAAGACCAGATCTGAACTTAGATCTTCTTGACTCCAGACCTGGCACTCTATCTCCTGTGCCATCTAGCTGTCTTTTAGGCCTTTAAGCAACTCCCTAAGACTTTTAAGGTGCAGAGAAGATACCAACTTGCTTTGATAGAGGGAGTTTCCTCCCTGGGAGTTCTCTGAACAAATCACAGGTCCATTCCTTATACCTCTCTCCAGACATACTCAAAACCTTGGATGACAACTCATCATGGTTTTGCAAAAAGCAAATTCTGTTTGACCAACTTACTTTCTTTCTAGCAAAAGGACCTCAGTCATAGGTGATATGAAGGGGTCTGAATAGGTGAGGACAAGTCAAAGAGTATAGGAAAACTTTGGCTTTCATTTTAGATAATATTCTTACTAAGAAGCAGGAAAAATTGGGTCTATGCCAGGAATCTCCCACTGATAGCTGCCATTAGGCTGCTTTGAGTCCTCCAAGACAGATAATATAACTCCTCATGCCCTTTTTCAGATGGATGAATCAGATCAGTAAGCCTTTGAGAAAATAAATAGTAAGAACAGCCAGCATCTATTATTTATTTAGTTTTCGTTATTATTAAATAAAGCTATTAGGAGTAGCCTAAAGAGATGAAGTCTATAAGCTTCAAAAACATTTGAAATTAAAATTAGAGAGTACTGATCTATACCATACAAGGCTATTGTTAGGTGAGTACACAGGGGCATAGAGGGGCTAGTCATGGCCCCAAAGCTAGGATCACAGATATAGAGACAGAAGGGAACTGAGAGGACACCAAGTACAAACTCTTCATTTTACAGATGAGAAAAACTGAGGACCACAGAGGTCCAAAGACTTGTCCAAGGCCATACAAGGAGTAAGCATCAGAGACAGGATTTGAACTCAGGTCCTCTGAATCCAGAATCAGTATTCTTTGCACAGAACAACATTATTGTTTAATACACTACTATTTAACAGAAAATGACCACATTGATGTAATCAAAAGACATCTTAATAAGTTCTTAGATGTCACTAAGTTGATACCTTGGATTCTTAAACCATGAAAACCTGGGTTCAAGTGTTACCTGACACATTCTAGCTTTGGTATCAAGGTCCAATCACTTAACATCTCAGTGTTGCCATGAAACTCTCAAATTGTAAATTATCTGAGCTACTGCTCAGATCTGTGGAGAGAGATTTCATACCAAGAGTTTCTCCTCAATGAAATCACATTTCTGGACTAATAATACTAGT